GTATGGAAAGTCGACATATTCATATTTCTCGTCTATGAAGTACCGAACTTTGTCGAATTGCACATAAACTTCTACTGCGTGCATTATGTGGAGTTGAAGTGGCAATTTCTGTTTGCAGACGCATTTGATTATGTTATTAGTCGTTAGTCGATTCTTCTATGTGCGGAGTTTTTTCTCGAGCTATCTTCTTAAAATAAATGTTTAAGTAGCAAATCAGTAATAAGTAATTTAACGGACGATATTATCCTATAGTAAGTTTTGAACTTTTAAATCGCTTCGGATTTTGTATCTTCCGTCACTAAACTATACAAGATAGATTGGGGTTGTGTGAACAAAGAAACCTGAGTTTATTGGTCTTCCAATCGACATACCTGAACTTTGCTCGGAAATATCACACATATACCATATATATAAAACAATATCATCTCACAGAATACAGCTGAAATTATCTGTGATTAATTTCTCTTATTTCTCTTGTTTATTTGTTTAAGACGGTCGGAAAGAAAACGTTTGGTGATTTCCTTATACACAATAGAAAATATGTAGGTTAAAAATAACATATAAGGATATGTAATAAATGTAAAAAGTAATGTAATTTCAGTGATTTTATTTCATTTTTGAACAATTTCCTAGTAGATATCGCGGATACGTCGATTTCGGGATCTATTTTCTCAAAGTATCATTTCTTCAGCTTTTTAAAAAGTGGTTATTTACAAAACAAAATCCAATAATTTTCGAAAAATTACGGTGTAGTTTGTTAGAGAAATGTTGCCGTTTTGTATCCACATACATAAATTATAATCCTACACTTTTTATATTTCTAGGATCCAAAAACAAAATTGTATGCCAATCTTCGTGCTTTCCTCCTATTGATTTTTTTAACATGCCGTAAAACATGCTTAAGAGCAATCTAATTGATCTGTTCATAAAAAAATGTTAATTTTTCGTCTCTTGTTTTATTGTATCATCTCTCTCTATGAATTAAACGTGATATTTTTTCCTCGTTTTTCCCTTTTTCGTAAGAAAAGGGAAGAGCAAAGAAAATAAGATACAATAAAATATAAAACATAATATAATTAATATAATAAATAAAAAAAATAATTTATAATAAAATAATAATATAATAAGATAAAATCTCACATATGACGAACAACCTTGTGGTAGGTTTCGGTAGACACCAAAGTGACGTCCGTTCCCGTTTTTTTCTTCTTCCGACCTGAATACTAAGGCGGCCTCGCGAATGTTCGCTTATACATTCCGAAGTTGCTTGCGGAAGGGCACGATCTTATCTTCCGCGAGAGCTTTATATTCCAACGATCTCCCGTTGCATGCGAAACGCGTTAATTGTCAGTCGGCCGCGGGAGAGCCCGCGGAATTCCCGCGTCCCGTGTTAAATGTAAATCGGATTTCCGACTAAACGGCGTAAATTACTTTTCGCGAGCTGGCCCTGATACGATTAAACTGGCGCGCGCGCGCGCGCGCGTTTGCGCTTATGCAAATCGGCGCTTTGTGTCGCGCCGCTTAAAGCTAATTATTACGGCGCCGACCGCGTCGGGAGGTTTTCAACTCGCGAAGAAAGCCCGAGAGCCGCGAGAAGTGCTACGCTAAATACGGCTCAAACGGCTAAACTGTTGCGCCCGCGATTAATTGAATTTTCGTGGAACGCGATCTCGCGTGAAATCAAGAAGTGATTTTGTACGTCAAGCGACGAGCGTATCGTCGGGCACACACGAAATTACCATCTGCGTCTTGTTTGCCAATTTTCCGCAAGATTATCGCGATGAACAGGAATAGGGAAAGAAAGATATGAGCGTGTGTCAATATCAGGCCGACAAATTTTGACTTTTGCTCCGATCCCCAAACCTGCACAGGTGATCCCGAAAGTTCATGGCATTTTAAAATCAAACCCGTTGTCCAAACCATTACGTCAGGTTTCCGCACGGAGAAGACAAATTTTGCTAGAACAGCAAATGTTTGTCATCATAGTGACAGCAAAAAAAAATTTGTTTAGACAACAAAGGGTTTGTTTGGACAGCAGAAAGATTTGTTAAGAGTATCAGCTGCTATTTGCTGGAAATATGGACAATTCTATATATTTTGTTTCAGACTTATTTTAATTTCACTTGTAAAAGTGATGAAAAATTGTCTTTTTAGCATATTTAGGTTAAGATATTTTGGAAACCTGACGTAATGCCGTCATGTAATGTAAATAAATAAATAAATATGAAAATGTGTTAAATTTATAATAATACACATTTTTTTACTCTGTAGCAACGCTACAATAAGTTTACGCTGAACACTTAGATATAAATAGAAAAGCGTAATGGTGGTAGAAAATTAATTTTGATTGGTTGTTTGAATCACATGACCATTTCCATCATTTTCTTTGCCCACCACAATTAAGAACGTGTGATGTACCAATCATTTATACTATTTTTATTGTAATTTTAGCATGTTATGATTCAAGAAATCCTTTCTTGATGTTCCGAATTGTAACGAGTGGTTGCAAATTATTAAATTATTCTTAAGAGACAGCATATTCTTATTTAGAGTAATTATTAAGGTTAATCTTTTGCGATCTAACCCCTTTCTTCCTCTCGCATCTTTCTTCTTCCGCTTTCCTCGTTTTGCTCGTAGTATGCAAAGTATGCAAAGAAAATGGCGGATTTCCGATATATCGAATTCAGTTGCGCTTCTCTACTTATATCTAGAACTTTAGTTCGCGCGTTCGTATATCGATATGGATAAGACGAAGTGAGGGAAACGACCTGACATTTTCCTGCTGCCTCTTGTTCCGCACGGCCTACTTCGCGTGAAAACGCTCGTGTGAAACGCCGAAGAGCAAGCGCAAAGATTTTCACGGCGGAGGGAGCACATTCGCGCGATGTCGAAGGCGGTCAGTCGAAAGACGCCGGTCCCGAAAATATCCCTTTGTCCGCGAGAATCCGAGAGTATTTCAACACCATTGTCGACAACCCCCGACATAAGACTCGCCCTTCGTAAATTAACGGAAAAGAAGGGATGTATGCAAAGAAGAACGCACATTTCCACGTTGTGCGTTGGGCGCGCAAACGAACGGCGACAGTGACATACGCATTGCGGATAACCCTCGGCCATGTCTCCGCGGCATTATTCCTCCATTTACATTCGCCGGTCGTCGCGTGACGCACCGGAGTATCCATTTTACCGAAGCCGGGTCGCGGACGTAAAAGCAGAGTGAGTCTCAAATCAGATATGAAAACTTTTCAAACCGACTCGCACACACAATCGTCAGCGACATGTACGATCTTAACTCAACCGCTGATTACCGCAACTCTTGTTAAGTTTCCGGAAAATGAAAAGTTCATCAAGAGTGTCTCGATAGTATCTCACTGTTCCTGTGAACACAGCGCCAAAGGTAACGATCAACCGTATAAGATCTTTCATATTTCGTCACTTTTTCGTTGGATCTGTATCTTATATGTTTGCATATAATATATTATATATTATGCGTCTGTTTAATGAAATTTTCAACTTTCTATAATATCATATAGGTGATGTCTATAACATCACGTTAGATATAGTGCATGATACCTTGACGGGTATAATAGGATTCTGCTTATGAATTCTGTACATGAATGTTTACATGGTGGCCGCTCGAAGGACACTAATAGAATATTTACATGTGTTCCTGAATGTACCGGGAATTATTGATAATCTGAAATGTGATCGGAGACTCGGATAACTACAGATTTGGTTACCAAGCATATTATCGCGAATAAATTTACTATATACGAGTATGTTGCGAAAAGCACACAGTGTTTTATATAGATCAACATTTATTATTATATTTATTGCATGTGGAATTTTGCTGAGAAAATCACGAAACAGAGATCTTACGGTAAAACAATTTATTTATTTTTTTTATAATCAAGAAACAAAGATTCCATGTTTGATAGTTCGTCTTCTTCAAAAAGAAACAAGTCTAACAAATCGCGTCGTGCAAGAGCGTAAGAACATTCAAAAGTCGAAATCACCGAAAGGGATATTTCATCGCTGAAAGTTTACAGAGTTTGAGAATACAACGTGAACGATTTATTGATCACCTTGCCGGTGTGTAACTTGATAAATTTCACTGGCTCTATCCTAAAATATAATTTCTGCCTTAATTTCTGCATTAATCTTATTTGTTCCTTTCCCCTTGTTACATACATTAACAAAGGAGATGACATATATTTTAATCACACCAACATTTAATCTTTGAGAAATGTTTATTTTATGATTTGTATCTAAATGTATAACGAAATACTAATATCCTTTACTAAGAAGAATATCGCGAATAGACATGAAACACATAGATGAAGATATATGTACATTGTAATATAAAATATTTTACCAATAAAAGTATTGTGCCATTGACTGCCATCAAAATTGCCATCAAAATGAGTATTATTTATAAAAAACTACCTACGTAGAATATCGCGAATAGACTTAAAATGCACAGAGAGAGATATATACTGTATCTTAATTAATAAGAAAAACATGACTGCGGAATTAAAAATTAATCTTTATTAAGAACGTACATATAAATATAATAACCTGTTTATAAAAATAAAATATTTCTTATATATTGTTCACGATAATGCTGCGAGAATAAAAACAATCATATACGAGAGCCGTTAAATACTAACATTGTTTAAATTATCAAGATTACATAAATTTTACTAAATAATTAAATGCTGAAATAGAGAAATGTGGAATTATAATCAACTATAAATATCGATTACGCTCTATAATATCACTTTTTAACGAACATATTATATATATATAATATGTTCGTTATATATATATAATTATTTCGTAGGTCTAATACAAAACTCTGTCTAATATAAAACTGAGGTAATCTTTTAATTTGATAAGTTTGTATTGACTAATACAATCTCTTATTGGGTGTGAATAATAAATTTTATACGCAAAAAATTCTTGTGTCTGTCGATAATGTGGGAAAAGAAACGGTACAATCATATAGAACTGCTAGAACCGTTCAAATTCTTGTAAACAAGTATATATTTGTTACAGTAATATACCCCATCAATCCGAAAGTCTTTGTGCGGTGCGCAACTATTGAACGGACTTTTTATTTCAATATCAGGTGTTAGATTTGCACCTAGAATATTTTTCATCTCTTTTATGTATCTGCACGTTCTAAATACGTCCGAAGTAGTTAAAAGTAACGGGCAGCTTTGAGCTTGTATTGCTCTTATAGATTGCGACCATAACTTCTTAGTAATTTCCACTTGAATACCTACGATGACGTCCGGTCGTTTGTATTTGTAATCGGTCGTGTATTCGTAGTACATCTTAGAAACAGAAGATAATGAAAACTGTTTTTTCTTACTCTGGCAATTTTCACAAACTTCATATATAGGTGGATCAGGCTTTAATTTTGATCCTATTATAATAATTACTAGTTTCTTTATTCTCGGTATACAATGAAGCAAAATCTCCCAAGCCCGTAGATTATTTTTATTCACACGGTTTGCAGTTATAATGTGAACGGTGAAAATATCGGCTTGGAGGAGAAGCTGTAAGAAATTTGATTTCTGCATTCCATAATAGAGTGCTAGTGGTCCTGAAATATAATCGGAAAGGATATAATCAGTGGCAGCCCAATCCAGAGTTTTTCTTATCTTTGCAAATTCCGTAATTAATTGAAATGTGTTGCCAAATTTAATATTTTCATCAGCAAACGCAATGAAGCTTCGCGTTATTTCAGTTAGATTGGGTGTCATAGATGCAATATTTATGTTGAGCAACAGTCTCAGTTGCTTGCACATGAACTCAGTATGTTCTGTGTTAAATTGCACCTTATGCTGGATACAATAATTGACGGAGTAGCATTTTTTGCAAGCGTTCAGATAATTCTGTTTGTAACAAATAAGGCACGATTTCATACACAGGAACATTTCCTCCTCGTGCTGTTCGAGTTGGCGGAATAAACTTTGATGTATCAATTTCATAAATTTCCTCTTCTCATTGATCCATCGATACAAGGTGATGGGACCGGAGATCATTCTCGGCTTCAGTTTTGAGAGCTTTACTACAGCCTCGCATATTTCTTTGTGTTGCATTTCGTGAAATGATTTGTGATCTTGATGGCAATAAGATATCATGTAACACTTATCGCATGATTTGGAAGAGTCTATGTCTACCGATTTACAAATATGGCAAATGTTCGGATTGAAAAACTGATTGTAAAGTTTAGGCAATAATGACCCATTATGTTTAATTATTTCTTTCTCTGGGTCCTCCATACTGCCTCGATTGATAAAGTTAAAGAATACTTTGTCTACTGTATCCACCTATCCAACAATGCTATATAATTAGCACTTTATTAGGATTCCGCGTATAAATTCTATATGGATATTTGCGCGGTTACTGCTCGAAGGATACTAATGGACTTATTACGTATCTTTCTGAGTGTCTCGGAAATTATTGACAATCTTGAAGAGCTGCGAGTGACTGTTACCAAATATGATATCGCGAATATACAGAATATTTTATGCGAAGGTCGCACACCATATCATATATAAATAAATATTTATTATTGTTTGTATATCAAGAGAATTTTGTTGGCGTAATCATGATACACGGATCTTATCTGTTTCCACTATGGAATATCTTAATCTTTAATTTGTTAACATCAAGAAAACAAATGTCTATGCAGTTTTTTTTTTCAAGGGGAGCAAGACAATCAAAATAGTTTGCGGATATAATGCTAATACAAAAAAAAATATTTTTATGGTTAACTAGTTAATGCCACTACGTTTCGTTTTTTAGAATAAAACTGGTCTTTTTCTGACTCACATAGAATAGCGCAGATTGCAGATTTACATGAGCATTTAAAAACAATATTAATAACTATGAATTATAAATTAATCATTAATAAATAATCATCAATTTATATTTATGAAAGAGAATCGCTTCTTTTTCATTAAAAAAAGAGTGAAATTTAAACATTAGAAATTCATCAGAGTGAATAAAATTTTAACATTCATCTAGTGAAATATACTTTCTGAATTTTTTTCAATATTTTCACTTGAAACAATAATAAAAATACTACTCGAAATCGTAAGAACGAATGTTCACTTAAACTAGAATGAATTTTGACTTCATATGTGCGAATATTTTAATCGATTGGAGTGAATATATTCCTACGACATTGAAATATATCAGATTCACCCTCCAATTTTAAGTGAGAAAATTCACTCGACAATTCAGAGCGGAGAATTAACTCTGCATGAGTGAAAAACCGTCCGGATTCGAGTGATTCACTGTCGCTTCATTTTTCCAGTGAGATTTCACTGCACACAATTAGAGAGCAGACTTTAATTATTAAGAATAGGAAAGAGCACCCGGTTTTGCTCGACTTTTCAAACCAGAATAACCTTTTAGAGAAATATTAGGGATAGCCATAAGTAATGTCGTTTTTTCCAGATTGAATAAACTTTGTCACCTTCTTCGTGATTTATTATTATACAACCTATATACTAGTTAAATTTATTAACATTTAGTGCGTTTATGTATGAAATTTTAAAAGAATTTGAGTGTACCGTTAAGCATGGAAGACCAAAGTGCGGATAAGGTGCATATTAGATATTTGGTGCTTCACGAGTTTCGAAAGGGTAACAATGCCACTAATGTTTAAGTGCCGTTAATTTTGTTTATTATAGTAACCTTGGATATTAGAACGCGTCAGCGTTAGTTTAAAAAACGTAAAAACGGCGATTTCGATCTTTCCCGACAGACCAAAATCTGGAAGACCTATTGAATGAATTGAATGTAACAACGATTTTGTGTTTGGGATATAATGCTAATACAAAAAAATAAACTGAAACCGAAGCTGATCCCAAGCGAACCATTCAAGAATTAGCGACGAAGCTGAAAACGTCATGGTCGTTATGGTCATCATGTTAAATAAAAAATAAAATGCTGTACAAGTACATCAAAAAGCGACGTTATTTATGGGTACCCCTAATACTACAAGCCGGGGTCGCGATGATACTCGCGCTTAACGAGACGCAGAGAGTCGTCATCCGAAACGCTCCTTGTAAATCCATGGTAATTATTGCACCGTGTAATCTTGAATAATCGCACGATGTTGTCGATAATCTCATGGCGGAGCTAACGAGATTTTCATGGGACATTAGGCGTCGGTGCGGAAGTGTCAATATCGTGGCAGCCACAATTTCGCAGACGTCTGCGCGGTCTCGTAACAGTTCCACGGCTCGATCCACAATTTATCGCTCCTCCCTCCCCCGTCCCCCCCGTAGCAACGCTTCTCCAGCACCGACTCCTCGCTCGTAATACACTTGCGCGTGCACTTGCTAAGTTCGGAGACAGGATTTGCAAGCATCGGTAGGGAACCGCGACAAGTTGTGCACGCACACGCACACACCGTCTCCACACGGACGGAAGGAACGCACGCACGTGTTGTGTATTCGAGTGTATGATGCGCGGAGGAAGGATGGAAAAAAACGGCAGCGAAAAGGAGGAAGGGCCTTATCATAATCCCTGGCCATATTATCAGACGCATCTTAATCTTTTTAAATTCATCGACTTCCGAGGACCAGCTTTATAATACGGCTCATCTATCGATCGAATTATGTTAAGGCGACTATTATTCTGTAAAGGGTATCTTTGAAAATCTATCGATGACTTGTTGATTTGAAAAACAGCCAAATTTCTATCGAGATGGAATTCGACAGTTGCCTGATAGTGTGAAATCATTCGTAATAACGAGGATTATTTCGATAATTAAAGTCATACACCTTCCGTACGACACTTTCTATAAATAAATCTTGATTTTTGGTAACGAAAACGCCGAATTGATTTACATGACTAACAGAGTTTAATAAGTAATCAGCCGGTGTAACGAACTAATAACGAATTAGAAAATTTAATCTAGCTTGTACCAGCTACTAGCTTTTCACTCAGGCCGACTAAATACGTTTCTATTTGGAGGTTGGGGGGGAAGGGGGCGACGCGAGATATCGAGCAGACGACGACTGCGGCCGAAGGATGCTGCGTATCGCGCTCGCTTCGCGTACACACGCAATGTGCGCTGTGTGTGTCTGGCGTCTCTCTCTCTCTCTCTCTCACTCTAATAGTACGGAGTTTTCGAGCCACACGAAGGAGCACGACGAGCGGAAAATTGAAATAGTTACGAAATACGGCCGCGATGTAAGTACACCGCGTGGACGCTGGCGGAATTTTTCGGGGTTCCGCGATCCCCGAGGCTCCTTTTCTCTCGCGATTATCTCGAGCACATAGGAGGAAGCATTATGCAAGTTCCGTGCCGATGTCAGCGGCAGGTGGTTCCAGAAAACTTTCGGATAACGAAACGGCGCGCTCGCCGATCTCGTTCGGCTTGTTCCCCCCGTCGTTCCCTCCGAGATGTCGGAGAGGGGACCACAATGTAACTTTGCTTTTTTCGCCCCCATCGCACTACACAATGCTTCCGGCAGATAATTCGATATTCGCGAGGTCGTACGCGAAAAATCACGCGCGATAACGAGCAATGAAAGCGAAACGCTCGAGGCGAGTTTCTGGTCGAGCAGAAAGGTCGTCATTAACTCGAGACCGGCCGAAACGATGGCAATGGATGGTATTTCCTTATTCGTCCCGGGGATCAACATCTTTCTCATTTAATAACGTCGCGCGATCGATCCTCTTATTCGTTCAGCCGCTCTTCGTCCGCTCCGAGCCGTTTTAGCAGGGAAAGCACGTTCGAGTACATTGCCATTAAGACGCTCGCTAGGAGGAGGACTCGCGACGAAACGGTTTATCATGCTTCCGGTTGCTGCTCGGACGGCTGCTGGGAGGAACTTCCGATCGATACAGAGAGAGACACACTAATGCCGTCTCACAGTATTTACAGTATGCTGCCGAGTACACAGGGGAGTTTCCGCGATCGCTCTCGCGTTTTCTTTCGCGAGTGGATTCCGCGTGAATAATTTCGAGAAACTGAAACGAAGGAACGTAGCAAAAGCAGCGACATGTTTAAACGCGCCTCTTCGTTTTTCGCAGCTTTGCAAACGCGATTACGACGCACTGGTCGCGTCGTAAATCTGATCTCTCTTTGGATTATTCGAAAATTTTTCACGGTCTTAGATAGTTACGAGTGTCGAAATTTCCCCGAACCTAAATTTACATAATAAAGAATTTTATGCCAAATTTGATATATTTCGCATGTTCCATAAACGGTTCATATTAATTTTTACATTTATTTAAAACAAGATGAATATGTCGAAAAATCATACAAATATTATGTCAAATCTTTTTCTCAGTGTTCGCGTCATTTATCTAATGACATTTCCGACCGATCTCGACTGACTTTGAGTCTCGAGAAAAAACGCACGATTGATCCGAGATGCACGTCGCCGTATTTCCGCAAAACGGAACAGGTAACTGGGTTTTTTTCTCTCTCCTCGTTTTTTACATTGTGACGCTTCGTTACTCTTCACCCAGGGGGCTCGCCGGGTTGCTCCCTTTGCAGTGTTATCCGAGTAAATGCATCCTTTAAGAACGTTATTATAGCTTCCTCCCTCGGAAGGAAACGTGCCGCTCGAATAAGGAGGACCTCTTTGCTTAAGAGAGCCACCGCCTTTCTTTTGTACCGGCCACTCGAAGAATTTGATTTTTCCACTGTATCTTTCTCTCTCTCTCTCTCTCTCTTTCTCCCCCCCCCCCCNCACCCTTCTCTCCCGCGTCGTCGAACACTCTTGGAGAGAGGATATCCAGATCTTAAAATCCAGCCATTAATTCCGCTTGCGTAATTTCTCCTTTCTCCTCGGATATTCCATCGGCGTTTACCTGAGAGCTGCGAATCGAACCACTTAACAACGTCGAACAGTGTCCATTAACATTAGCCACCGAAATTCCAAGATGCTCTCTATGCGCTTGCGGTGTAGCTGAAAATAGAGAGTCCTAGATGTAAATAGGGGAGTGCAACTGAATTCGATACATGACATTCGGAACATTGGTTTTATGTGGATTTTATAAAAATCCGGACATAAACGTTTTTAAACTCTTACTTGATAATATTATACTTTTAAATATTAAAATTGTGATGTACAAACATTCTTTTCAATTTTTCGCTCAAGTATTATTAACAGTAACGTTGCATACGATACCAAGAGCTACATATTTGAAAACGCTACATATTACAAAACACTGTAATAGCGTTGCGTTAACGATTTCTTGCTTTGCTTGGTAACCATTTCACTCGTGGCTAACAAAAATAACGCAGAAA